CCTCCGCTACCAGCCGTGTGACCTTGGGGAAGTCTCTTAACCCCCCCGAGCCTCAGTTTCCCCATCTTTAAAGTGGGTGTGTACAAAAAAGAGTCGACACAGCAGATCTGAGACTGTTGTCCTTTGAAGGGCCTGCTTATAAGGTTGACCGTGGCCGGCTTCTGGGCGCTTGGGTTTTGAGAGGGTTCCCACCAGTCCCTGACTGATCAGAGTGGCTCATTGTGCCTGAACTGTTTGTACAAGCGCAGTATTGTGTGCTGAGCCCCTGCTTTCCTTCTGGGAGTCTGGCATCTGGGTCTGTGCCAGCAGAGGCTGCCCACGTGACCAGCCCCTAATACAAACCTCGGGCGTTGGGGCGGGCCTGGTGCCACAGTGGTTAAGTTCACACGTTCCACTTTGGCAGCCTGGGGTTTGCAGGTTCGGATCCCGGGTGCAGACATGGCACTGCTTGTCAAGCCATGCTGTGGTAGGCATCCCACATATAAAGTAGAGGAAGATGGGCACGGATGTTAGCTCAGGGCCAGTCTTCCTCAGCAAAAAGAGGGGGATTGGTGGCAGATGTTAGCTCAGGGCCAATCTTCCTTGGGGGAAAAAAAAAACCCAGGCAGAGTCTCTAATGAGCTTCCTCCGTAAACAGCATTTCTCATGCGTTGTCACGGGGTGGGGGGGGGGGGAATTAGCATGTCCTGTGTGACTCCACTGGGAGAGGACCCTGGAAGCTGGGGCCTGGTTTCCTGCGGTGACTATAGGCTGAGTCTTGTGAGTCCTCTTTAGCGAAGCCCTGAATCTGACTGTGGCCTTGGGGTCGCCTGACCCGGTGGCAACACTAACTCGACCTGCCTTTCAGGTTGTTAAAAGTATTAAATGAGACAATAGATCCTGAATGGCCCCCAGGAGGTGCCCAACAGGAACTGAGCCGCCACTACGATTCGTCTTATTCTTAGGGATGTTGGGGTGAGGGGCGGCCAAGTGAGCTGGGGGCCCGGTGGGCCGGTGTCCCTGCTTGGCTGACGTCCTCGCTTTCCCGCCAGAGGATATCTCAGTGGTGTTCAGCAGGGCCTCCTGGGAAGGCCGGGCTGATTTCTCCCAGGCCGACGTGCACCGCCAGATCGCCATCGTGTTCAAGACGCCGCCCTACGAGGACCTGGAGATCGTGGAGCCGGTGACGGTCAACGTCTTCCTGCAGCGGCTCACCGACGGGGTCTGCAGCGAGCCCCTGCCGTTCACGTACCTGCCCCGGGACCACGGTAACCGCAGCAATGCAGGATCACCCGCCGCCCCGGGGAGCAGGGCTTTGGTCTCGCTTGGGGTGACCCGGAGGGCAAAGAGGGAGAGGCAGAAGTAGAATGCAGGGGCCGAGCTGCACTGACTGGGGCTCGATTCCGGGCTCTGCTGCTTCCTGGCGGTGTGGCCTCGGCCTCTCCGAGCCTCAGACTCCTCCTGTGCAGGATGGAAATCATAATGGCACCACCTCATGGGGTCTGGGCGGTATTTAATCATCCGCCCCTCAGCTCATCTGCTCGTGCCCGGCCCTCTGCTGCGTAGTGCTGGGGACACAGCGGTGACAGAGATAGCCCCAGCCCTGCCCTCAGGAGTCTCACAGCCCTGTGGGGGATGGACCTATTCCCATGCAGTCACAAGAAGAGTGGGCAGGACTGGCATGGAATTGCTCAGGGGATCAGATTGCCTGGAGGGATCAGGGAGGGCTTCCTGGAGGAGGGGACAGCTCAGCTGAGGATGGGAGGATGACTAAGCGCTTCTCCAGGGAAGTGGTGGGAGTTGAGGAAGAGTGTGTTAAGCAGCTGGAACGGCAAGTGCAAAGGCCCTGAGGCAGGATTGTGCCTAGGGTGTTCCAGGAACAACAAAGAGGCCAGTGAGGCTGGAAGTGGATTTGGGTTTCATCCTGATTAAGGTGTGATATCTATTTGCATTGGTCGGCCAAGAACTAGAACAGCTCAGCAGCCTCCTAAATGGTCTCTAAAATGAATTCTTAATTCTTCTTGTTGATGGATTACTTCGTATGTCCCTGGTGTCTCCTGAGCAGACAGCTACGGTGTGGACAAGAAGCGGAAACGGGGGATGCCCGACGTCCTTGGGGAGCTGAACAGCTCTGGTGCGTCCCCTTTGCCCCTTTCCACACCCCTTTGCCCCTCTGGGAGGGGATGGCTGACCCCACGGCCCCGCCTCGCTCCTGACTGGGGAGGAGGGGCGGTCGGGATCCAGGGGTCCTCATCTCTGCCTTCCTGCAGACCCCCACGGCATCGAGAGCAAACGGCGGAGGAAAAAGCCAGCCTTCCTGGACCACTTCCTGCCCAGCCAGGGCTCAGGTGGGTCCCGGCTCTGTGCGAGCCCCTGCCCCCCAGGGTGGGCCGAGGGTGAGCTGCTCTTCTGGCCTCCTCAGGGCCACCAAGAGCTCCTACGAGACCAGTGACTCACCATTTAGCCAGCAACCTAAAGGGGAAAGAACAGCAGTTCTGGAAACAGCCCAGAGGCTCTGATCTCCACCAGGCCATTGACTTGCTGTGTGACGTTCACCAAGTTGCTCCACATCCCTGAGCCTCAGAGACTCCCCTGTAAAGTCTCACCGCACATCTACCTCACTGGCCTTTTAAAATTTAACGTATTTATTTTTACAGACACTATAGGACAGGCTCATAAGTGTTTTGTGTGTGTTTTCTCATTTAATCTGCACAGTCTCCCTCCAAGGTGGGCACTGTCTTCCTTCTGCTTCCCCCCTCGTTTTTTTTTTGCTGAGGAAGATTAGCCCTGAGCTAACATCTGTGCCAGTCTTCCTCCACTTTATAAGTGGGACACCGCCACTGCATGGGTGACGAGTGGTGTAGATCCACACCCGGGATCTGAACCTGTGTACCCATGCCCCCGAAGCAGAGCGTGTAAACTTAACCACTGTGCCACCAGGCCAGCCCTCTCCGCCCGCTTTTTACTGGTGAAGCCCAGAGAGGTGAAGCCTCTAGTCTGAGGACACACAGTTGGTCCGTGGTGGAGCAGGGAGTGGCAGCTGGGTGTCTGTGTGGGTCAGTGACGCTGGTTGCGACACAGGGAGCAGGGACTGGATGGTGGGTAAGTGGGGGCGGTCGTCAGAGCCAGCCAACCTCGAATTCAGAGCCTGCCTCAATCCCAACCACCCTGCAGCCCCTTCTTCTCCTGCCTTCATCCCAACTCACATCCAGGGGTTCCCATGAATGGCTGGCACAAAGTTAGTGCCCAGGAGATGTTAGGAACTTGCCAGAAATCAGAAGGGCCACCTGCATTTTGTTATGATCACGTGTAACTGCCTTCACAGCAAAACCCAAAATAACAGGGGCTTCAACAGGACAGAACTTTATTTCTCCTCTCACATAAACACAGCCCAGAGGGAGGTGGTCCAGGGATGGTTTGGTGGCTGCATGAACTTTGGAGTCCCAAGATCCTGCCATTTTCAACTCACCGTTTCCATCTCATGGTCCAAGATGGCTGCTGCAGCTCCAGCCATCAGGCCCACATTCCAACCAGCAGAACTTAGTCCCATGACCACATCAAGCCGCAAGAGAGGCTGGGGAATAGAATCCCAGCAGCGCTGTGTCTCTTTCTGAGGTAAACATCATCAGCCTTTGCTGGTGAGATTTGTCTTGTCTCAAAAAGAGAGACACTCTTATAATGACACATCATTTTACCTTCCAATTTGGGGACTGATGACTTCTCACTTGAGTCTCTGACAGTGTGGAGATTTCACTTTTGGGGTTGGGGAGCGTCCTCATCCTTGGGGAAAATTCCCCAGCCCTGCAGGAGCACCGTTTCAATCCTGCTTCCAGAGCTCCCCAGCTGCGTGTGACTGTGAGTTATTTTGCCTCAGTTTGCTTATTAAATCAGGGTGATAGTGGATACTCCAAGGTTCTTCTTGGGATGAAAAGAGGCCACGCTGATAACACCTTTCGCATGGGACAGGACCTTAGATGAGGACCCGGCCCCAAGTTGGTCCTAAAGCCCACCATACTTCCTCCTCTCTCTTCTCCTTCCTGCAGGCCCCTTCCTCCCACCGTCAGCCCTGCTCCCGGACACAGACTTCTTCCCTGGCACCGTGTCCCTCCCCGGCCTGGAGCCCCCGGGCGGGCCGGACCTCCTGGACGATGGCTTTGCCTATGAAACCACGACCCCCACGCTCTTCATGCTGGACATGCTGCCCCCCGCGCCGCCGCTCGCCAGCGCTGTTACGGGCAACGGGGGTGCAGGGGCCGCGGTTGGGGAGCCCTCCGGCCCCGAGCCGCTGACGCTGGACTCGTACCCGGCCCCGGGCCCCGGGGACGGGGGCACTGCCAGCCTCGTGGGCAGCAACATGTTCCCCAACCAGTACCGCGAGGCGGGCTTTGGGGGCGGCCTCCTGTCCCCGGGGCCTGAGGCCACGTAGCCCCCCCTCCGCGGACGCAGAGGAGAGGCGTTGGGTGGGGAGGGAGGTGCACGGGGCCCGGCGGACCCAACCGGGATGTCCAGCATCCCCATCCCTTGGGCCGCCCTGAGTCCGTCTCCCGACCTCCTCATCCTTCTGAATCGGACATCTTCAGCGCTGGCGAGAAGCTCCGTAGCATCGCTTTCCCGCGAGCCCATTTTACAAACGAGGAAACTGAGTCTGGAGAGGAAAGGGGGCGTGGCTCCACGCACGGGCTGGGAAAGCTGCGTCCGCCCCGCGATCGGGGGCACCTCTCCAGGCGGATTCTAGAGTGTACAGACGGGAGGAGGGCACAGAGCCCCAGCCCTCCTTCCCCAGGCCTGACGGTGGGGGTGGGTTGTTTGTTCAGTCTTCCTAATAAAGATGAGTTTTTGAGCCTTGGGGCTCCGCTCTCATCTCTGCTTGAGAAACTCTCCACGCGCTTGCGCAGAGCCTCCAGTCTCTCCTCCGCTCCGCCTCTCCCTTCTCCCTCCTCCTGGCCACGCCCCTCACCCAGGCTCCGCCCCGTCCAGACTCCGCCCCTTACGTCAGCGGAAGCGCGCTCCGCCCCCTGCGCGCGGCCTCCCACTTCCGCTTCCGGTGCGGGCAGCGCGCGGGCGCAGAGGTGGGAGGCGGCGACGAGCCGGTGAGTGCAGGCGGCGGGCCCGACCTCCTGGCCTGCGGGCGGCCGTCAGCCCAGCTGCGCCCTCGCCTCGGCCTCTCCCCGGGCTCTTGCGCGCCTCCGCTCGGCCCCGGCCCCGAGGGCCGCCAGCCCCGCTCCCCCTCCGGCCCGCCCGCCCTCAGCCGCCCCCCCTCCCCCCCGCCGCAGGCCCGGACTCGCAGCGTGGGCCCCGCCGCCTGCCGCGGTCCCCGCCTCCTTGTCAAAGGCGCGCCCGAACCCTCAGGCCCAGACCTGGTCCTGGGGCCCTGCCCAAGCCCCGGGCTCCGCCCCTGTCCGCAGGCCTAGCTCTTAAACCCCCCCCCCCCGCCTGCCGGCTCCGCCTCGCTCGGTCTCTGCTCCCTTCCCCCTCCGGATTCCTTCTGTAGACCTCAGCCCCGTTCTGGTCTTTCTTTGCAGCACTGCCCTGTCTCCCCCTCCTCCCCGAAGCGTTGTCGTCTTCCCTCCACGCCCTTCACCTGCCCTCGGCCCTCAATGCCCCTCCTGTTTCCGTAGTCTTTCTCCTCTTCCTCCTCCTGCCTTTATCTTCATCCTCTTGCAACTCCCACCCACCCCCACGCGTGGCCCCTGGTGGAAGCCCCTTCAGCTCTTTCCCCCTCCCTTGAGCTACGGCCCCAGCAGCTTCCAGACCTTCAAACACTCGCTCCTTCCGTTCCAAAAGCTTTTATCCTCCATTCCAGCTCCTTGAGCCCAAGACCCTCCTCTCCCGGGGATGCTCCGTCCAGAATCCTCCCTGGGGATTTTCAGAATCGGAGTTGTCCTGGATGCGCTGGAGCATCTGGCGCACCGTTCTGCAGCCTCACTTCCCGTCCCCGAAGCTGGCATTTAGGATCAGCTCCGTCTCCAACTGGTTAGGTGACTTTGGTTCTGCCCAGATGGTTTTTACAGCCCATGTGACGCTCCCCTCCCCTCATCCCCCAGGTCGAGGAGGCCTCGGGCTCGGCCTCACCACGATGTGGCACGAGGCTCGGAAGCATGAGCGGAAGCTTCGAGGCATGATGGTGGACTACAAGAAGAGGGCAGAGCGGAGGCGGGAGTACTACGAAAAGATCGTGAGTGCCCGGCCTTCAATCCGGGTCGGGAGCTCCCCTGAGGGTGGGTCCCCGGTCATCCTGGTAAAATTTGGGCCGGGAAATACGTCAGAACAAGAGCCCAGATTCCTCGGGAGAATACGTATTCATTTCTCGAGGATAATCACGGGTTAAACCCGAGGCGTTCCGTTTATTACAGCCTCCTGTGTCTGCTGTGGCCTCACAGTGCAGAGCTGGGGTTAGCAGGAGGAAGGGAAGTCTTTGTCACACTCAGCGCAGGCCAGACATAAGGCTGGCCTCCACAACGTGTGTCTCTTGCTTATGGCTTTGCTCACGGTGGCCAGAAGAGCCCAGCCGTTCTTGAGGTTTGGCTTGGCACCCCGTCAATGTTCGTTATGTGAACACTGACCATTTCCTTCTCCTGTTTGACGCTTCGGTTGCTTCTGGAGAGAAGACCAAACTCCGTCCCTCCTGTAACCTAAAAGGCCCTTGGGGTCTGGCCTCTACCAGCCTCTCAGCTTCGTCCTTGGGCAGTTCCATTGTCCTCTTTGGCATCTCTGCCACCACAGGGCCTTGTGTCTGTAATGCCTCCTTTCACCTGTTTACCTCCTCCCTGTGCTTGGGACCCCAGCTTGAAGTAGTACTTGTTTATTAGGGTCAGTTCTGCTAGATGGTGTTTACATAGACGTTGCCGTTTACTCCTGCGTCACTCTCTCAGCCTCCTCCGTGTCTCCTGGCCTCCACTCCCGCCCCCTCCAATCTGCCCTCTTCACGGGGCCCAAGGGGTCTTTCTAAAGCACAAAGCTGACCTGTCCTTCCCTTGCTCAGAACTCCTCCGTGGCTCCCTAGTGCCCTTGAGAGAAAGCCTGGGCTCCTCAATACAGCCTTCAAAGCCCTGCATGGTCTGGCTTTTACAGGGGTCCAGACTCAGACCACCCTGCTCTCTATCTCTCTAGAGTGACTTTTTCTAACACAAAAGACGTACAAAAAGTGTAAGTCTACCTCCTGGAATTCTGTAGCCCTCTCCGGCCTCAGGGCCTTTGCATGAGCCCTTCCCATACTCATCAGTCAGATCTCAGTCCCCAGGGAAGTCTCCCTTCAGCCCCCATGCTCAGTTAGGTGTGCCCCTGTGAATGGCTGCCCTGGCTTCCTGTCCTTCTCCTTTGTGGAATTTAACACACACATCTCTGTAAGACTGGGGACTAAGTGTGTTTGGGTCACGTTTGCATCCCAAGCTTGGGCCCAACAAATGTGGTTTGAAAGAATTGATGAATAGAATAGTATTAACAATAGCAGTTCCACTTGAATTGATCCTCGTCAGGGAGCAGGCTATGTGAGAAAAGCTTTCGATGCGCGGTTTCTTTGAGTCCCCGCAGTCTCCCAGCAGACAGATGCTGCTCCTGCCCTAGGAGAAGAATCTCTGAGAGCTTGTCCCTTCTTTTTTTTTTTTTTTTTTTTTTTTAAAGATTTTATTATTTCCTTTTTCTCCCCAAAGCCCCCCGGTACATAGTTGTATATTCTTCGTTGTGGGTTCTTCTAGTTGTGGCATGTGGGACGCTGCCTCAGCGTGGTCTGATGAGCAGTGCCATGTCCGCGCCCAGGATTCGAACCGACGAAACACTGGGCCGCCTGCAGCGGAGCGCGCGAACTTAACCACTCGGCCACGGGGCCAGCCCCAGAGCTTGTCCCTTCTTGTGTCACCCAGGAAGGGACCGCGGGGCTGGAGGGAGGGCGTGTCTCTGGTGGCGCTAGAATAACTGTCCCCTGACCACAGAGGCAGGGCTCAGGTCTGTGTTGGTCGTCGTTGAGGCCCCAGCAGTGGGCCAGGAACACAGTCAGTGCTCAGGAACGAGGGGCTGCCTTTTATGAAGGGCCCGTGGGTGCTGGACCCAGTGCCCACAGCTTTGGCACGTTCTTTCTAGTCTTTTCAGCAGGGCTGAGGGGTTGGTGCTGATCCATGTGTTAGAGGTGATGCTGATAATCGTGGCTGAAGCCGTGAGCGTTTGTGTGTTAACCACTGTGCTAAGCCCTGGACAGGCGTCCCCGCTCCGTCACACCCTCACCCCAGCTGAGGAGGTGGTTCCTGCTATCTCCATTTTACAGATGAGCAAACTGAGGCTCAGAGGGTCCTGGCCTACAGTCACCTAACGAGAGGGCGGAGCTGGCATTCAAACCCACACTCTCTGACCCTTGCCCTCTCTTAGTTCTTCACCTGGGCTTTCCACTGCAGAAATAGAAGTTCAGAAAGGTGCAGCAACTTGTCCCAGGTGGCACAGCCAGCGGGCAAAATACCAAAACGGGTAGGTCCTTAGAGTTTTGTTCATAGGGCTCTGGGCTGAGATTCCAGCTCTTGCACTTACATACAGTGTGAGCTTGGGCGAGCGACTGTCTCCCTGAGCCTGGTTTCCTCTTGTGCACATCAAGGGATGTAGCATGTGGAAGGGTTTGCTTGTGAATAACAGACCTGAAACATCAGTGGCTTAAACAAAACAGAAATTTATTTCCTCTTCACATGAAAGGCCAGACGTGGTCAGTTTTGCTCGGGGACCATTTTGCTGTTGAGCTGCACGTGGCTTCTCTTCCCGGTGTTGTCTCCAGGTCTGAGAGGGCTGCTCAAGCTCTGGCCTCATGTCTTCGTGCCATCCAGCAGGGAGGAAGAAGGGACGGGAAAGGGGCCGAGGTGCTCATGCCAGTTGTTAAAGTTTCTAGATGTTTGCGCCTGACGCTTCCACTCACATCCCACTGGTCAGAAAGTGGCCCCCGGTCACATGCAGCTGCAAGGAAGGCTGAGAGGCATGGACTGTGTTCTGCGTGGCCTGTGCTGGATGCAGTAGGAGTCCTGTTGCTACCAAAGGAGGGGGATGGATGTGGGTTGCCAATTAATGGTCTGCCGCAAATGGTGGGGGATAGGAGCCCCTCCCTCACGGGGCTGTTGAGCGTTGAGTGAGATGGCGCGCGGCGACCACTGAGCATTGGCCCGCCCGGGGTCCCTTGCTCAGTCAGTGCCAGCTCTTGCTGTTACTGAAGTTACTCCAAGTTAGAGCTGGAATTTTCATCCAGATAGAGAAGGCTGGAATTGGGGTCTCTCAGAAGGCCTGGGACCCCAGGCTCTCGTCTTTGTTAGTGGGGGAGCTCCCTGAGCTTTATTTTCCCTTTGGGGACAGTGCTGATGGCCAGCTGCTCTCATTGGGTGATGGGGAAGGGCTTCAAGGACAAGAACCAGTGTCTGTGGGGTGCTTTGTGGCGCAGGCCTGTACAAGCAGCCGTTGTCCCCGAATGTGAACGTGATCAGCATTCAGATCTGAGCCGCCAAGCCGTGGACAGCGGCTGGGCATGGCTGGTGGCCACTTTCTTGTGAGGAGGGGGTCGGGCTGCAAACACGCGTCTCTCCTCTTATTCTTGGGCCGAGAGAGGAGGCCGTGGGGCGAGTGTTGAGGCTGAGGTCCATGTGGCAGGCCAGAGGGCTGCGGCCACACAGAGCCGGCTTCTGTGCTCCTCCTTGGTCCTTGGTGCCTGCTCTCTCTCCATGGCCGACCCAGTTCTGTATTGCTCCTGTCCTTGTCAACGTTCTTCTTTCATCCCTGTTGATGTGAAAGTGGCAAATAGGTTAAGTCACTTCAGGCGTCTCCTCCTCCAGGAGGCCCCAGGCTGAGACGGGCGTCCCCCTCTTCACACGGGACTGTGAGCCGTGAGGGCTGGGCTGTCTCAGTCACTGCCACGGTCCTAGCACAGGCCCTGGCACACAGAGGTGCCTGCTTAACAGTTGACTGAAGGAATGAAAGACTCTGTGAACTCTTCTCACCCCATCCGGCCTTGGAGGCAGAGTAGTCCTCTGGTTAAGAATGGATTTTGGGTGCGGGCCGGCCCGGTGGCACACTGGTTAAGTTCGCACGTTCCGCTTCTCGGCGGCCTTGGGTTCGCCAGTTCGGATCCCAGGTGCGGACATGGCACCACTTGGCAAGCCATGCTGTGGTAGGCGTCCCACATATAAAGTAGAGGAAGATGGGCACGGATGTTAACTCAGGGCCAGTCTTCCTCAGCAAAAAAAAAAAAAAAAAAAAAAGAGGACTGGCAGCAGATGTTAGCTCAGGGCTAATCCTCCTCAAAAAGAAAAAAAGAATGGATTTTGGATCTTGGAGAGATATTTGTACACCCGTGTTCGTTGCAGTATGATTCACAGTGGCTGAGATGTGGAAATAGATTAAACGTCCATGGACTGATGAATGGACTAAGAAAACGTGGTGTGTCCATCCAGTGGAATGAAATTCAGCCTTAAAAGGGAGGGAAATCCTGTCACATGCTGCAGCCAGGAGGCAGGGTGAGGAGATTGTGCCAGAGAGACAAGCCAGTCACAGAAAGACACATTCTGCAGGGTTCCAGGTGTATGAGATATCTAAAGTCGTCAAGCCCTTAGAAGCAGAAAATAGAATGGTGGTCGCCAGGGGCTGGGGGAGGAAAAGGGAGTTGTTGTGCAGTGGGTGTAGAGCTTGAGTTTAGCAAGATGAAAGAGCTCTAGGGATCTGTTGCATGACAAGGTGCTTCTAGTTAAAGCTACTATATGTACACTTAGAAGTGGTGAAGGGGGCCTGGCCCTGTGGCCGAGTGGTTACGTTCGCATGCTCTGCTGTGGTGGCCCGGGGTTTCGCTGGTTCACATCCTGGGTGAGGACATGGCACCGCTCATCAGGCCACACTGAGGTGGCGTCCCACATGCCACAACTAGAAGGACCCACAACTACAATATACAACTATGTACTGGGAGGATTTGGGGAGAGAGAGCGGAAAGAAAAAAAAAAAGAAGATGATTGGCAACAGTTGGTAGCTCAGGTGCCAATCTTTTGGGAGGGGGGTGGGGTAAGTGGTGAAGGGCCGGCCCGGTGGCAGAGCCGTTAAGTTCGCATGTCCCACTTTGGCAGCCCAGGGTGTGCTGGTTCGGATCCCAGGCATGGACCTAGCACCGTTCATTAAGCCATGCTGTGCCAGCATCCCACATAGAAAGTAGAGGAAGATGGGCACGGGTGTTAGCTTAGGGCCAGGCTTCCTGAAAAAACCCAAGTGGTGAAGATGGTAACTTTTATGTTTTTTACCACAATAAAAAAAAAATTACTCTTAAAAAAAAGAGTGGAGTTTGGAGTCAGGCCCATTTGGGTTCTCAACCTGGTTCTTGTATTCCTGGTGTGGTCTCAAGAAAGTGGGCCTCAGCCCTCTGTGCCTGTCCCTCCTCTGGAGCGGGCCACTAAGAGCAGCGCCTGTCCCCCGCGGCCGAGAAGCCTGAGCAAGGAAGCACACGGAAACACGCTGTGGGGCGCCCTGCTTTCGATCCGGTCCGTGGGCCGCTCCAGAGTCTCGGCGCAGGGCCAGGCCCCGGGCTCGGGTCTGCACTCCCAGCCCAGCGCTGTTTGCTTTCTGTGGGCCGGCGCGGCTGGCGGCCTTCCATGCGGGCCAAAGTCCGTCCTGCAGACGCCGTCCCCGAGGCTTGGCTGCGGAGCTGGCATCTGGCCTCCCGCAGCCTCGGGACTGTGAGGGGCCCTCCCGGGGCTGAGGGAGCTGGGAGACCTGAGAGGACGGACGCAGGGAGCCGGCGAGGTACAGGGCGCGGACTTGGGCTCCAGCAGCACCGCCCTGCCACACCCTGTGGTCTTGGGCTCCTCCACCCTCATCTTCTTCAGGGGAGAGGAGCAAGACGCTGGCTGGCGCCTGGCACATAGCGGGCGCAGGCTGGACAGTGGCCCCACCTTGGCTGTGGTCGGTGGCTGGTACAGCTGCCCATCTGCTGGCTGGGGCTTGGGGTGGATGATGGGGACAGTGAGGAGGTGGTCACCTTGGAAACCTGTAGTCTCCTGATGGTTTTCCCTGTGGGGGCTCAGTCTCCTCATGTGCCAGTGAGGATTCCTTCTCTCTCTTCTCCAGTCAGTTTTCTGAGCGCCTGCCTGCTGCAGGCCACGCCTGTTCTAGGCGCGGGGGTCACCACGGGGAACAGAGCAGAGATCCCTGCCTCGTGGAAGTTACGTTCTGGTGTGGGAGACAGGTGATCAGTGGCTGTGAGGTGCTCTGTGGAAAACAGGCACGAAAAGGAGCGAGAGTAAACGAGGGGTGGTTGGGGAGCTACTGAGGTAGAGTTGACAAGGAAGGCTTCTGGAAGAAGGTCTGAAATGTATGAGGGGCACCCGTGCGCAGGAGCCATGCAGGCCTTGGGAGAGCGTGCACAGAGGTGCTGAGCGGAGCGTGGGACGTGCCCGCCGTCTTCAGGGAGTGGCGGGGGGCACTGGCTGCCTGGAGCAGGGCAGGGGGAGATTGCAGACAGGGATGCGGCCCCACAGGCTGTGGCAGGACAGCCCAGCCGCCGTGGGGGGAATGGACTGGGTTGGGGGTGGGAAGGGCAGCAGGGAGCTGAGACAGGTGCTGAGTGTCCGGGGAGAGGAGATGCTGCCTGGCCCAGGGGCAGACTCTGGGGCCGTGTTGCCAGAGCCTGGCCAGGATGTCGTGGGTGGCACCAGCAGCCCGCCCCATGGCTCTTGCGGGTTCCCTGACGTGGCACGCAGCTGGAGCTCGGCCAGGGCCCCGCGCGCGGGAAGCCCAGCGGCGGGAGCCGCTGCTTGCAGATCTTACCCTTTCCTGGTGCGGTTCCGGTGACCGGGAATTGTGGCGCCCGTACGCGTGAGGGCTCAGGCCTGGGGGGGCGTGGACTTGAGACATCCGTCTCCATCTCCATACCCTTTATTTTGTTAAATGGCTTTAGTGAGATATAATTTATATACCGTACAATTCAGTGGCTCTCAGTAGTTTCACAGGGTTATACAACCGTCACCACGTTCTAATTTTAGAAGATTTCCATGACCCCAAAAAGAAACCCTGTACCCGTTAGCGGTCAGTCCCTGGCTCCCCCTGCCCCCTTCTCAGCCCTGGGTAGCCACTCATCTCCTTTCCGTCGCCATGGATTTCCCTCTGCTGGACCCTTCACAAAAATGGGATCATACACCGTGTGGCCTTTGTGACTGGCTTCTTTCACCTGGCATTGTGTTCTCAGGGTCCATCCCGGTCGTGGCCTGGGTCAGCACTCCAGTCCTTTTTTTTTTTTTTTTTTAAATATTTTTATGATTTTTTTTTTTTTTTTGAGGAAGATTAGCCCTGAGCTAACATCTGCCACCAATCCTCCTCTTTTCTTTGCTGAGGAAGACTGGCCCTGAGCTAACATCCATGCCCATCTTCCTCTACTTTATACGTGGGACGTCTCCCACAGCATAGCTTGCCAAGTGATGCCATGTCCGCACCCGGGATCCGAACCGGCGAACCCCAGGCCGCCAAAGCAGAACATGCAAACTTAACCGCCGCGCCACTGGGCCGGCCCCTCCATTCCTTTTTATTGCCAAACATTCTCCGTTGTCTGGGAGCACCATGTTTTGACCCTCCCCTTCCCTCATCGGGCGTCTGGACCGTTTCCGCCTGCGGGCTGTTGTGCATAGTGCTGCTATGAACACTGGTGCACGGGTGTCTAGCGTCTGCGTTCAGTTCTGTCGGGGAGTCACCTAGGAGCGGAGTTCTGGGACGTGTGGCAATGCTTTGTTGAACTTTTTGAAGAATCTCATTCCTTCCCGTTCTTGTCAGTGCTGGGTGCCGTCTGGCCTCTCACTCTTAGCCATTCTGGTGAGTGTGCAGTGGTGTCTGCTGGTTCGGGCAGGCCTTTCTCGGAGGAGCAGGGACACTGATCACCTCTCCATGTGCTCCTGTGGGCCTCGTGTCTTAGAGCCGGGTCCTGGCGGAAGTGTTCACCCCTGGCTGTGGAGGCGTGGCCCTGGGGTGGGCTGGGGTGAAGAGCTGGGGATGCTATTTTAGTGGGGGAGGTGTCGGCGCTGTCTGTGCACGACGCTGGGCCAGAGCTCAGAGCCTTCTGCCACTGCTTTGGAGGAATCCCTTCCCCTGCCCCTAGAGGCTAGGTGGCCCCTGTTAGTACCGCCACCCCGTGCGGGTCAGCTTACCTCTGAAGTATGGCCCGCTTGACGTCAGAGGTGAGCTCGCTGCTAGGCTTGGGTTTGTGGGGGGGAGGCAGGGTCTGGGGCTCGGTTGCGTGGTGACCTCTGTGCTGTCCGTCCCTGCAGAAGAAGGACCCGGCCCAGTTCCTGCAGGTGCACGGCCGAGCTTGCAAGGTGCACCTGGACTCCGCAGTCGCCCTGGCCGCCGAGAGCCCTGTTAACATGTAAGACTGAGCGTGGGGGCAGGGGAGTGTCTGTGACTGAGGGCTGGGTGTCAGAAGGGACCTGGGGTGTGGACAGACTTTGGGGCACTCAGGCAGGGAAGAGTTGGCCTGTATGGGAACGTGACAGTCACCGGCTAAGGAGACTGGCAGGGGTTGAGATGGAGGCCCCAAGGGGCAGTGCTGGTGGGAGGACTCAGAGGGGGGTGGGCAGGGCCAGAGCCCGAGGCCCAGACGAAGCAGGGAGTAGGTTGCCAGAGGGGATGTTTCCGGGTGACAGGCTTTGCAAGTGACCCCTAGGACCTGCTTCACGTTCCCCACTCTTGCTTCGTTCTGAGAAGTAAGGCCTGAGTGTCCCCAGGGCAGTATTCAGGCCAGGAGCCTGAATGTGGATTCGGAGGGCTTAATACGTTAAAGGATGGAGAGGTGGGGTGAGGGTGGGGCCCTGGCAGGGGGCCAGAGGGGGCTGAGGGCCAGGCCCCTGAGCTCGAGGTGGCAGGGAACGGGCACTTTGTGTCCTGGGCAGAGGGGACCCTAAGCTCTTGCTGCCCTGCTCCCCACTTCAGGATGCCCTGGCAGGGGGACACCAACAACATGATCGACCGCTTCGACGTCCGCGCCCACCTGGACCACATCCCTGACTACACCCCGCCGCTGCTCACCACCATGTAAGCCGCCGCCCCCGGGCTTGCCAGGCAGGGCATCTGCCCCAGCAGCGCCTCTTCCTTCCCAGGCCCTTACCTGCCTGGCCCCCCGGCAAGGAAGGAGGCATGCAAGGGCAGTCCCCGCCCCCAGGCCTGAGCCAGCTCCCTCCTCCTGCTTCCTGCTGGCATGGGTGGGAACTCCCTTCTCCCTCTGATCTCAAGGCCTCGCCCTCCCCCAAAGCTCCCCGGAACAGGAGTCGGACGAACGGAAATGTAACTACGAGCGCTACCGCGGCCTGGTGCAGAACGACTTTGCTGGCAGTGAGTGCTCCTGGGTGGGAGGAGCGGCTGTGGGGTCCCTGGAGGCCTAAAGACCAGACGAGTTTGGGAAGGAAAGTGGTATCCCACTGCTTTCTCTGAAGGGGCCCTGGGTCGGTCCCAGCTCTGTCACGGCCTCGCCGCATCCACATCTGTCCCTCTCGGGGTCTCCGGCCCTGGAATCATGACAGGAGCTGTCTGCTGAACTGGCTGGTCTTCCCAGGGCCACTTCCACAGCCCGTGCCCTCTGACTCGATGGGCTTTTTTCCTGAAAAGTCAGGGAAAATAGCAAGATCATGCTTTTTTCCTCTGTATATTTTCCCCTGCCTGCATGGGTCAGAATGTCAGCCCTAAAGAGGAAATTTTATTAGACAGTGTGACAATTTGCCAAGCGTTTGTATACGTCCAGGATTTTTCTCCACACCGTCACCACTGCCACTTCACAAATGGGAAAACGGGCTCAGAGAGACCTTCCCCACTCTGGGCTGGCCCAGGGGGCGCTTGGACCCCCACAGACTTGGGCTTTTTTTGTCTGTATTACCTCATTACATCTGCACAACCATGTAGCAAGGTAGGGGTGGTGATACCCCATTTTACAGATGAGGACATCAAGGCTCAGGGTTTGAGGGGAACGCTGTGTCCCCAATCACTGCTACCTCCCAATGATGGCTCCGGACTCCGGCTCGCCTCCTGGGAATGAGTTTGAGACTACCCCCCAGGGCTTTCCTGCACAGTCAAGGGGAGGGTGGGCCGCGCCCGAGCCCCTCAGCCTGGTGGGTCCCCATCCCCTTCTGGAGAAGGGTGGTGGTGATGCTGTCTGTCCCTCGGGGTGGTGGTGAGGGTTCTGTGAGGGCGGCAGAACGCCTCAACACCCAACCCACACAGTCGGCCTCTCTAGGGGTCACTATTCCCACGTTTCTTTGATTCTAAGATAGGCGTTTCGGCATCTCTAAAGTCAGAGATGGCCAGGATTCTAGCCATCAGTGAGGCCTTAGAGGCGAGAATTCATCGTTGTCGACTCTGTTGTTTTGCCTTTGCCCAAGGCCACGTGGGTTCTCGGTGATGGAGCCAGAGTTTGCCTTAGTTCTGTCTGACCACGTTCATTCATTCATCCCCACAATTCCTGAGCACCTGTGGCGTGTCGGGCACTATTCTGGGATCAGGGGTCTGGGGAGGAGAGGGAAATAGCCACATAGTCAGAAGCGGGGTTGCTAGGTACAAACCAAGGCGGTGTGAGGACAGGGGATGTGCTCTTCTCTGAGGTGCTTGACTGAGGCTGGGTCAGTGAAGGGCGCGTAGGAGCCCACGGTGAGGAGAGGTAGGCCGCAGGACTCCGGGCCATGAGAACAGCCCTGCTGGGGGCCAGAGAGAAGGCCTGCGTGTCTGGAGCCGGGCGAGCGAGGCGGCTTGTGTGACGGGGCGGAGGGCCCTCTCCTCCGGCCTTTGTAGTTGCGGGCCAGAACCGAGGTGGCCGTTGGAGCCTAAGGGCTGTGCTGTGTCACCTCTGGCTCCCCCAGCCCAGCCACCTCGCCTTACAGATAGAAAAGCTGAGGCCCATGGAGGGAAGGGGACTGGCCCAGGGGCCCAGAGCAAGTCAGGCACGTGTGCCTCACTGTGGGGAGGACCAGGGTGGGCTCTGGGACGTTGCTGAGCCCCCCAAGTTGGATGTTGTGGATGAACGAGAGCCCAGGTGCCCCAACCCACTCAGTCAAAACCGAGCCACAGAGGGGCACACAGTGACGTGGCCCGCAGGGTCCAGGGCACGGCCGGCGCTCAGGATAGGTTTATAGTTCTGGAGGGTCCGGCCAAAGGCCTCCTAACCGTGATAGTAGTAGCAGCACCCAAGCACCAGGTGCTCACTCTGCGGGGGTCCCACTCCACAGAGCAGGAGACGGAGGCGTGGAGAGGTTGAGTCGCTTGACCTGAGTTTTGTGGCGCGCCGGGTTGGAGCCAGGGCCCTCCTGCGTTGCTGTGTCGCCAGCACGCACAGTCTGTGATTACCTGGAAACCCAGGACGGTCCTCGGCTGCGCTCGGCTTGCACCTGCCGTCCTGTCCCCCACTGCGTTGCTGTGTCCCCCCCCGAATTCCCAGTGTCCCCAGCCCCCCTGACCGCAAGCTCTTGCCTTGCCGCAGTCTCTGAGGAGCAGTGCCTGTACCAGATCTACATCGACGAGCTGTACGGAGGCCTCCAGAGACCCAGCGAGGACGAGAAGAAGAAGTGAGTCTGGGGCTGCGGTGCAGCGGGGCTGGGGGAGGCAGCAGGACCGCGCGCCCCCAGGGCACGGCCTCGTCCCTCCTGTCCACCTTGGTCTCCTGGAGCCGGAGCCGGTGTTGAGCACACAGTAGGCGCTCACTTAATAAATGTTTAGAGGAGGCAGTGGTGGCCGGGGGAAGGGGTTTGCTGACAGCCCTCCAGGATGCGTTTCAGCTTGCTGGGTGGTGGGAGGCGCCCTGGGGGAGCAGGCCTGGGTTTACATCCTGCCCCCGAGGCCTGCCCTCTGCACCTTGCTGTGCTCCTGTCAGATGAGGGACCACAGGAGATGGAGCTTGTAAAGGGCTGCTCCTCTGGAGAGGGCTTCTCAAGGCTGTGTCCCTTCAGGAGTGGCTGGGGGGAGTGGCCTCCGGTGCAGGGCGACCCCCGTCTCTATCTCGGGAGAGCAGCGATGGGGCAGTCTCGCTTATCTCTTCTCCACTCCTGTCTGGCCATGCGTGGTCCCCCTCTGCCTTCACACATGCTGCCCCTCCTGCCAGGGATGGCCTTCCCCGCCTCCAGGGCACTTGCCGGCCCACGTGTTCCACAGTGGTCCTGGAGCCCTGACTCCTTCCTTTTGCAGCCAAGGCTTACCCCTTTGGGATCCTAAGCACTTATTCCTTTGGTCCATGTGAAGTTTCCACGGACATGACCGGAGGCTTCTGGATGTCTGATCCTTATCCATGGCCCCACTTTTAGGACAAGGCCAGCACAGGGAATGTGACTAAGTTAATTCAGCAGCAGACGTGCGCTCGGCCCTTGCTTTGTTCTGGGCAAAGCTGACTGTGTTGTTACCCAAGATAAATCTGGGCCCTGCCTCTCGGGGCTCATGGTTTGGTTGTAGGGGAGACAGACCTGTCCCCAACAGTAATGACCCAACATGGGTGGGGTTGAGGGGCCAGGATGCTGCTTGACCCCACCTCAGGGAGGACTTCCTAGGAGATGGGACATTGGAGCTGGACCCTGGAGGAAGAGGGAGGAGCCAGTGGAGGAGGCGCAGAGGCTTCCAGGCTGGAGGAGAGAATGTGGGAGGGCCTGGAGGCGAGGGCGTGCTGCCCTGCAGCTCCAGAGGCCCATGTGCAGGGGCTCAGTGTGCGGGCCCTCGACCTGGCCTGCGTCCCACCCGGTCCTTCTTCTCCCCTGGGCGCTGCCCTGGCTCATGGGCTTCCCTGTCCCAGGCTGGCGGAGAAGAAGGCATCCATTGGCTACACGTATGAGGACAGCACGGTGGCCGAGGTAGAGAAGGCAGCGGAGAAGCCAGAGGAGGAGGAGTCACCGGCCGAGGAGGAGAGCAACTCGGACGAAGATGAGGTCATCCCCGACATCGGTGGGGTCCCCTCTCTGCCCTCCCCCCCCGCAGTCCCTGGGCATCGTTTTGTGTCTTGTCCCTCCCCCTCTGTGGGACGCTGCGTGCTTATGAGCCCCGTCTCTCCCACCCCTGCCCCGGGGCGCTCCAGCCCCCTGCCGTCCTCCCTGTCTCCCTCTCGTGCTCCTCTGCTCCTGGCCTCCCTCTGTCCCTCTCCTTTCTCACTTCTAGGACAGTGCTTTTATGATACTGTCCCCAGCTAGGTTCTGGCTCCATGCTCTTCTGCCTCTGCCTCTCCTCCTCCTCTCTCCTCTGAGCCTTCATCCAGTTACGGAGCCGCCCTCATCGCCCACCCACCCTTCACCCCTCCCTGGATCTCCATTGACCACACCAGCCGGTTCCTCATTCCTGCCTGTGTGGAGCATCCATCCACTCAGCCGTCATGCGTCCTGCCCCCAGACTCCTGTGTGCACGCGCCCTGCCCTCCTCCCGCCCTGGATCTACATCCTTCCACTCTGTCCACCCCCGCTCACTCCACTCTCACATCACTCCTCCACACACCTTGCTCGCCCACCCCGCCGCCGCTCACTGGCCCCTCATCATTACCCCACACACACAGCCCCCACCGTTGGTTGTGCTCACCTCTGGCCAAGCCCTGTGCCGGCCTCAGGATGTCGAGATGAGGCAACTCGTTCCTCCTGCAGAGGCCTCCATCCTGGTGGGCGCCCCCGCCTCAGCGCCCGGGGCACCACCCCTTCTCCCCTGTCCTCTTGCTTGGCTTTGGCCCCTGACAGCCTTTCTCTTGGTGCAGACGTGGAGGTGGACGTGGACGAACTGAACCAGGAGCAGGTGGCCGACCTCAACAAACAGGCCACGACCTATGGCATGGCCGACGGCGACTTCGTCAGGTGAGGCCTGCTGGCCAGCACCCCTCCCCGCCCTGTGGGCCTGGCGTCTCTGTCCTTCCCCCCAGTGCTGACGGCCACCCTGCTCCCAAGCACTTGTGTGCCGGACCCTGCGCCGAGGGTTTCACGCACACAGCTGCCCCAGCTCACTGGGGGGTACTCGTGAGCCAGCCTCACCTATGTACAAACAGGCGCCCCGGCTCCGTGTGGCCTGTGGGCTGTGACCGCTGGAAGCCCCCGGTGCCTGGGCTGGTGGCAGCGCCCTCTGGTGGAGAGGCTTCCTGCGCTGGCTGGCTCCCTCTGGTTGCTGGTTGAGCCTCTGCCTCGTGTCACAGCCCGTGCAGAGCACATGGAATAGCTCCAGTTAACAGGCATTGAGTCAGAATCTGGCTAACCCCAAGTCTGAACCAGCAACCCCTGCCCAGAGCCCTGTGGCTCCTGCCCCGCTCAGGAGCAACCAGCGTCCTCGCCCTGGCCGCAGGGTTCGGCCGTCTGGTCCTCTGCCCCTCTGCCCCCACCCAGCCTCCGCGGCCTCCTTACGCCTCAAGTGCCCGCTGCCCTGTCCGGCCTCTGGGCCCCTCTGTGTGCCGTGGGCCCAGCACCGTCTGTGCAGCTTACTCCCGGGGTGTCTCCTCAGCTGTCACCTGCTCTTTGCGGCCTCCCTGACCTCACTGTGGACAGCGCAGCAGCCTCTGCCTGTTCCTGGCACTCCCTCCCCCTTCCGTGACTTGTTCTCCCGTCATGTTTCCCCCGTCTAACATACCACGTGTTACGGTCCCTTGTCATTGTCCGTCTGCTCCCACGACAGCGAGGGCTTTTTTTTTTTTTTCCAATACTGAGTCCCTGATATCTGAAATAGCACCTGGCACGCAGTAGGTGATGCATAACAGTGCCGAATGGTTGAGAGACCCCAGGGTGGCATGAGTTCCCTCACCGCCTGCAACGACCCTGCCTGTGGCCTGCCCCCTCCTCCTTTGTGACCCTCATCCCCCCGTAGGATGCTCCGGAAAGACAAGGAGGAGGCGGAGGCCATCAAACACGCCAAGGCCCTGGAGGAGGAGAAGGCCATGTACTCGGTGAGGGCTGAGCCTGGCTGGGCGGGGGCTGGCGGGCCTTAGAGAGGACGCGCCCCTCACAGCCTGTCCCCACCCTCTCCAGGGCCGGCGCTCCCGGCGCCAGCGGAGGGAGTTCCGGGAGAAGCGGCTGAGGGGCCGTAAGATCAGCCCACCCAGGTAGGTGGGCCTGCCCTGTGCGCACGTGCCTGCTCAGTCTTTCAGGCTCTGGTTCAGGGCGCTGGGGCTCAGGAAGGTTCTTCGGGGCCGGGCTCTTGGCTTTCAGGGAGAGTCCTCCTGGCGGGGCAGTGAACAAGGAAGGTTTAGACGGGGAGCAGCCAGGAGCGGGGTGTGGACACCCTGTCCTGCCAGCCACTCCCACACCTTGCTGCACTCAGGCCCTGGCTGGGCTCCCGGGAGCCAGTGCAGGCAGCATGGGGGCTGGCAAAGTGGAGGGCAGTGGCGAGGGGCATGGGCCTGGCCCTGGACTCCGACCTGCTTCTGCTGCTGGGCCGCTTCCTGGATGTCAGAGTTTGGGCAAGTGAGGTCCTCTCGAGCTTCAGCTTCCTCCTTTGGCAAAGAGGCACCATCCCCTCCCAGGACAGGGGCTGTGTAGTGTCCCCAGCCTGGGCCTGGGCACATTTGAGGGGTGGTCGGCTGCGGGCTGGAGAGCGGCTTCCGGGAGAGCCTGCCCAGCCTCTGAGGCTGGCGGCCCCATGCAAACCCATGCCTCTCTTTGCCATGTTTCTCTGTTCGGGTGGAGTAGTTGAGGGTCGCCATGAGGCTTAAGCAACCTGTTGTGGGTTCAGGGTTTGGTATGGGGTCTGGAAAACGTTCCTTACAGAGTCGCACTGATTCTCATCGTCGTCCTCATCACTGTAGAGGCACGACTCAGTGTAGTGCATAAGAACATGGGTTCAGGGCCACGTGGCCTGGGTCAGAATGCCGGCTGCTGCATTTATGAGCTCTGTGACCCTGGGCAAGTGAATTCACTTCTCTGGGCCTCGGTTTGCTCACCTGTGAAGAGCAAGTAATCCTAGCCCCCACGTCACAGAGTCGCTCTGAAGAGCAGTTGAGTTCATCCAAGTCCAGTGCTTGGTGTCTGGCACGTAGTAAGCTTCTCAGACATGTTAGCTCTTCTGGTTTCATCCTCATCATCCTGTGGAAGCTGGGACCCAATTAGCAGACGCGGAGGTGTGGACCGGGAGGAGGGATGCTTCCAGAGGTGGGTCTGGAGGCCAGGCGGACTGAGGCTGCTGAGGTCCTTGTCGCTCAGGGTCAGGACGGGTCTGGGACGTGGTTGGTGGGGTGGGGCCGAGGTCCAGGCTGTGGACAGATCAGGGGCGAGGTCAGCAGTGGGCTCAAGGCAGGCCCATCACTTGGCCGGCAGCTGCTCCTCTCCGTGCCCTGGGCCTGGCCTTGGGTGCCCAGCTTGGGGGGTTAGGCCCGGTTCATGCCCGCCCAGTTCTCAAGGCCCTCCTTGTTCCATTTTCCTCTCCATAGCTACGCCCGCCGAGACAGCCCCACCTACGACCCCTATAAGCGGTGAGTTCCGGGACCCGGGCGCCCGCCAGTAAACCCCCGATGGAGGGGCGGGGGTCACCCTTAGGCCTCCCTGAGAGCTCCGCCCAGGTGGTGTGCTCTGGGCTCTTACACCCAGGTCAGCTGTGGATCTGAAATGCGTTCCTGTTTTCCAGAATGTCAGCCTCTGTTCCCAGTCCATTTTCCCTTTAAACAGGAGCCGCCTTTAATTTTTTGACTTAAACGTAATGCGTTCTTGTGTTAAAAATGCCAAACGTGGCAGAAAGGCGTGACTTTGAAAGCAAAAGTCTGCTTAATGTGGACTCCCGGAAACAACAGGCACGGAATGGCCCTGCCACATACCGTGTGTCACCTGCGTGTGGGGGCAGTTGACACAGGGCGTGGAGGGGGCAGGCCTCAGTTCCCCTGCCGAATGGGCTGGAAGGGCCGGCACCTCAGGGCTCCTGGGGGATGGGTGGGGTGAGGCCTGTCCCCTTTGGGTGGGACGTCTGGCCCAGGTTAGTGTTCAGCACATGGGATCTGTGAGGGGCACTGGGGCTTTGGTTTACAAAAAGGGGGTTGTGCCACACTCTATGCTTTAGAACTTGCTTCCCCCCAACTTGGACATATATATTGAGGAGATCTTTTCACGTTAAGTGCATAGATCTGCTCGTCCCTTTGTAACAGCCCCGTGGAATCAGTAGTTTCCTGTCACTCCCGTGCCTGGTTACTTTGAACGGACTCACCGTCACGAATCGGACTGTCATGTCGCTGGGTGTCTGTCTGCCCTCGGGCTCTGTCGGTGGTGCTGTTGCTCGGGGCCACGCTGTTCCCTGTGTCGCTCTGCAGTGCTCACGGTCCTCTGAGACAGGCCCGAGGAGCCTGGCCGCTGAGCCCCCTCCTCCCCACTCTGCAGGTCACCCTCGGAGTCCAGCTCTGAGTCCCGCTCCCGCTCCCGCTCCCCCACCCCGGGCCGCGAGGAGAAGATCACCTTCATCACCAGTTTTGGGGGCAGCGACGAGGAGGCCGCCGCAGCTGCGGCTGCAGCAGCCGCATCAGGGGCCGCCCCAGGGAAGCCCCCCGCACCCCCCCAGCCCGGCGGCCCCGCACCGGGACGCAATGCCAGCGCCCGGTCGGTAACGCTCACGCTGCCCGCCTTAGGCCCTGGCCACCGTGGGGGGGACCCGGGGCAGCGGGGGGCCACAGTCCAGGCGGGTGCTGACTGGCCCCCCGTGCCCCGCCTGCAGCCGCCGCTCCTCCTCTTCCTCCTCCTCCTCCTCCTCCGCCTCGAGGACCTCCAGCTCGCGCTCCAGTTCCCGCTCCAGCTCCCGCTCGCGCCGTGGCGGGGGCTACTACCGCTCTGGCCGCCACGCCCGCTCCCGCTCACGCTCCTGGTCCCGCTCCCGCTCCCGCTCCCGGCGCTATTCCCGGTCCCGCAGCCGTGGCCGGCGGCACTCCGCTGGGGGCTCCCGGGATGGACACCGCTACTCCCGCTCGCCCGCCCGGCGGGGGGGGTACGGGCCCCGGCGCAGAAGCAGGTGTGTGTGGCTGGGTGTGTGGCGGGGGGTGGGAGACCTGGGCCTCCCAGGATGGTGGGCGGGCCACTGCCCTGCGACAGGAAGCGCCAGGCTGGCAGGAAAGGCATGCCCCCTTGCGGGCGCTCCGGACATGTGACTATAGGGCACAGTGCCCTTCCCGGGGACATGGGGCAGGGACAGAGTGCACTTCTCCCTGGGAAGCCCAGGCTGAGGGGCTGGAGGTGCACAGACGCTCCAGGTGGCCTGTGGTTTGCAGCAGGCACTGGTCCGCGGGGCTAGGGCGCTCCGTGGGGAGATGGTCGCGTGCATGCACGCGTGGGTGGGGAGGGGCCGGTAAAGTGAAGGCTGTCCTTTGCAGAGGAGGCAGGGTTTGACGTGAGTGCTGCAGACAGGCAGGAAATAAAGCATCCAGGGCCTGGGACATCCTTCCCAGCCTTGTCCCCAGGGGCCAGGGCTGCTTATGGGAATGCAGCAAGGACCGCAGTCGACTGCCTGGGTGTCGTTCTGGTCTTGCTGGCGAACCTTTGGGGCCTCGTTCGTTCGCCTGTAGAATAGAGGCAGCATCCTCTTCGTTGGGTGGTTGTAGAGGTTGACTAGTAATCCATGTGAGTCCTTAGCGCAGGGCCCCCACTTGGTAAGTGCTGTGTGGTCGTCAACATCATTGCCTGTGTTGGTCGCTGCCTGGATCCCGTCAGCTACCCACGGGGTCTGGCAGGTAAAACAGAGGGCCCAGGTGGGCCCTGGGGAGTTGCGGAGCACACGATGGGGTCAGTGGCCACTTGGTGGCAGGCCCAGTGTTGCCCAGTCTTCTGGTTTCTCAAGAGAAGTTGAGAGTCTGGATTTTTAAAGGACAGCTCTTGTTTTCTCAATTTTGCCGACAAGTTTGGGTTTTGTAAAAACCCAGGACAGGCCCGACAGGATCAGTGTGTGGCCTGGATTTGGCTTCCAGGCCCTGTAGCCTCACCCAGGGTGATGACAGGAGAAAGGCTGGGGGAAGGGGCAGCCTGGTCACATCCTGAATGTTGGCCTGAGGGTGAGCCCTTGCTCAGGAGCCCCCCGGGTCCTGAGCAGAGAGATGAGGGGGCTGCGCATCCCAGGCTGGGCCGGGTGGGTCTCTGCTGCAGACAGGTGGGGAGAGGGGCCAGGGGGTGGTCCCCACTGGTGTCAATACCCTGGGCCCCTGCACTGTGAGGAGGTGGTGAGGGTGTAGATGACGTCACACCTGGGTGTCCGGAGCTGGACACAGGATGTCAAGGGGGAGCTGACCAGCCGGGTCCTGTCCTCGCAGAGGTCACCGCCCAGGGAAGGGGGTGAATGGGTGTCTGGTGAGTGAGAAGTCAAGAGCCATCTTAGGGCGGTTAGGGTATCCAGAGAGGGGTCTCTCTTGAGAGACTGAGCCAGGTCAGGGAGCAGCTCAGGGCATTCCTGGGACAGAGTGGCAGGAGAGAAGTGGAGTCATCCCGGGACCCACCACAGCACCTTGCAGGAGGACTGCAGATTCCGAGCCAGGGCGAGGGGTGCATGGACGAGGTCCCTGTAGCCTCACAGCCCCCTCCTGTCCCACTCTGTCCCCAGGAGCCGCTCCCGCTCAGGGGACCGGTACCGGCGGGGCGGCCGTGGCCCCCGGCACCACAGCAGCAGCCGCAGCCGCAGCAGTTGGTCCCTCAGCCCGTCTCGTAGTCGCAGCCTGACTCGGAGCCGCAGCCCCAGCCAGAGCCGCAGCCGCAGCCAGAGCCGCAGCCGCAGCCGCAGCCAGAGTCACTCGCCATCACCCCCAAGGGAGAAGCCGACCAGGCCGGCGGCGTCCCCTGCTGTGGGCGAGAAGCTGAAAAAGTGAGCGGGGGCAGGGCCGGGGGAGAGGGGTGCCAGCCTCAGGTGGGGAGGGCGACGCCACAGTTCTCTTTTCGAAGGGGCTTGATCCTGCCCTGAGAGTCTGGGGGAGTTTGGGGGACATGGCCTTGCCTCGGATGTGGGTCAGAGAGGGGCGTAGCCCTGTCCTGAGGGATCCGAAAGGACCTGTCTCTCCCTGGGGTGTCTGAGGCCCGTGGCCTGGCTCTGTGGTCCGAGGGCAGTGCAGGGGGTCACAGTGGCAGCTGCCCTTTCCTCCTCCCAGGACCGAACCTGCCGCTGGTAAAGAGACAGGAGCTGCCAAAGTCAGTAAGAATTTGGAACTCGCCCGTCTAACTCCCGCCAGCAGCAGTGCCCGAGAGCTGGGCCCGGTGGGCCTGCGGGGGCCGGGCGGGCCGGGAGACCCAGCCCCGGGCGTCGGGGGGCTGGGAGGGCTCTGCCCCCATGAGATCCGTGTCCCCCTCCCCTCCTCATTCCGCCGGGGCTCCGGCTGTCCCTGGGCCTCCCAGCCCCCTGTGGCAGGTGTCCACCGCCTGCTCCTCCTTCCACGTTCCCCCGCAAGTCCCAGGCTCTTGGACGAGGTGGGTCGTGGGAGCTCCGGGACACCCACCCGCTCTCCCGCCTCTTCTCCCCCTTCCCCAGCCCAAGCTGACGCCGCAGGAGAAGCTGAAGCTGAGGATGCAGAAGGCGCTGAACAGGCAGTGTATGTGCCCCTCTCTGTCCCCGTCTTCTCGGCTCCTCTCTCCAGCCTGGCCCTGGGAGGCCTCCCCTTTCCTGGACAGGGAGGCACTTGGGGAGGAGCGGTGCGCGCCCCCTCTGCGGCCACGTGCTGAGGGCCTTGGTCATCTGGTCGGCCTCTCTGAGTTCAGCTTCTGCGTCTGGGAAGGGGGTCTTGAGAGCACCCCTCAGCCGCCGTGTCCCTCCCTCCCCACAGTCAAGGCGGATAAGAAAGCAGCGCAGGAGAAGATGATACAGCAGGAGCATGAGCGCCAGGTAGGGGTGGGGTAAGGGTGGGGCTCCGTCCGGGGCGCCCTGCCGGCTGCCTTCACAGCCCTCCGTGTGTCTGCATCTCTGTCTGTCTGTGCCGCAGGAGCGGGAAGACGAGCTTCGCGCCATGGCCCGCAAGATCCGGATGAAGTAAGACCGTCCCCTGCTCGCTCCCTGTATCGGGCCACAGCCGCCTGTTTCAGGGCTGCCCGCCGCTCATGGCCCAGCTCCTAGTTAGAGCCTGCCCGAGTGTGGGTGGATGCAAGCAAAGCCTTGTGTCCCTGTGCCTGTCCCTCAGCCTGCCTCATCCCTCACCCCTGGCATCTCCAGCCACTGCGACCTCCACCACTCCTGCAGCCTCTGGCGTGCGTTGCCTTTGCTGTTCTCCTGGCCCAGCACGCTCTTCCCGGGACCCACCAGGCCACTCCCTCGCTTCATTGGGAGGCCCTCCCTGGCCTTCTTGTCTAGAGAAGCGTGCCGAACGAACGCTCCCTCCTCCAGCCCCGTTCCGCTGTCATCATGGCACTGACACACCCCCCCCCCCCCCAGCAGCTGGCGTTGTCTGTTGTTTACTCATTCACCGTTAGCGTCCCCACTGAGCCAGCAGGGCTGGCTGCTGGCCGCCCGCTCGCCGTGTGCTGAGCCCAGGGAACGCTGAGGCGGTGCCCCGTGAATGTTGTGGAGCGACTGAACTTGCGCAGCCGCTGGCGGGCTCTGGCTCAGCACCGGGGGCAGGGCTTCCCTCTGCTCCCCTCTGTTTCTCTTCCCCTCTCACTCTCCACTGCAGAGCAGAGTGGCTCGGAGCCTGGTCACATGGACTTGGGGTCCCAGGCCAGCTCTGCCCTTCTCTGTGTGGCTCTGGAGCAGGCACTGGCCCTCTCGGTGCCAACCTCACGGTGTAGCTTGGGGATTAGTGCCTTTGGGGCCTCAGCCCACCCGGGGCCCGTGGGTGGGCCTGGAGTCCATGGTCCCCACTGTTGGCAAGGAGGGGAGTCTGGCAGTGACTAGGCCATGTCGCCTGTTACTCATTTCTGGTTCCACCCCGTACTTGTGGGTCCTTGGACAAGCAGCTTAACCTGTCCGAGTCGGGACTCCTTCCTCTGTGAGACAGAGGTAATAAGGCGCCCGCCTCTGCGGGATCCTGCTGTAAGGCTCCCAGCGGGGGCCTGGCGTCCGGATGCGGGAAGCTTGATCAGCTAGCGCTGCTGCTGGTAGTTGCTGCTATTTATTGCCCCGTGCTTCCACCAGGAGACGGAGGCGGAGTGCCCGGGGACTCCGCGTGGCTGTCAGTCTGACCGGCTCTGGTGCCGCCTCTGGCCCCCCAGCGGTGGGCCTTTCTTCTGCCTGAGCCTCACGTTGCACATCTGCTCCATGGGACACAACACTGTCCCACCTCACAGGCTCACTGGGAGCATTCGGTGAGATCAGGGCTGGCACGGAGCAGGCGCCCCATAAACCTAGCTCTTGGGGTAGCAAATAGGGTCATTGTGACGAAGGCCAATTAAGCCCTTAGCGTGTAAGTCCTTGTGCTCTAGTGTGTCAGGAAGCGAGTGAGCCGGCCAGCACCCTCTCTGCGCCCCGTGCCCTCCCTTCCAGGGTGGCCGGCAGCAACACCGCCCCGTGGTCTGCTCTGCTCTCCCCTGGGGCCTAGAGCTGAGGCTCCCCCTCACCCCCACCCCTGCAGGGAGCGGGAACGCCGAGAGAAGGAGAGGGAAGAATGGGAGCGCCAGTACAGCAGGCAGAGCCGCTCGCCGTCCCCCCGATACAGTGAGTGTCCCTGTCCTCCCTGTGCGCGCACTGCGGGAATGAGGAGAGATGCGTTCCCGGGGCATCGTGCGGGCTGAGGGCACGGGCCGCAGTCCGGGCGGTGGACTGGAAGCACCTGTGCGGCCTCAGCCATCGACCCACCAGCAGCCCCGCCCTGGCGCCCACTCCTGTCCCTGGCCTTCGCCGAATCCTCATCCTCTCCTCCCTTTCTAGGTCGCGAGTACAGCTCTTCCCGAAGGTAAGCAAGCCACCCAGCCCCCTGGGAAGGCAGTTGCCCTTTGGCGGGAGGTCACAGCCCTGATTCCTTTGTCACCACCCTGCCCCCCTCCAGGTGTAGGGGCTGCCTCCTCCCTTGATCACTGAAGCCCCCGTGACCCTGAAGCGTGCTGGTGCGTGTGTGCGCACAGGGCAGGGCTCCCTGCCCAACCTCAGGGGTCCCTCTGCTTTTTCTCTCCAGGCGCTCAAGGTCCCGATCCCGGAGCCCCCATTACCGGCATTAGACAGAAGCGCGGGCGCCGGGGGCTGAGGGGTGGGGCGAGGGCTCAAGAGTGAGGCTGCTGGTTCTCTCATGAAATAAAATCACGTTATTTAATGCCCTTCCTGTGGCCTCAGTTTCGTCTGTGGGGCGGGCGCAGGGCTCCCAGGCCCCTGCCCAGCAGCAGCAGGGCCAGCGGGGAGGGAGCGCGCCCCGTGGGGGTGTCTGAACAGCAGCTCCCTGTTCATCAGAACTGCTCCTGCTGCGGCCCCGTGAGGGCAGGGGCGCGATCCAGCCTGTGGAGGACAGGCCAGGACTTTGCCCAGGGGCCTCCGGTGACAGGTCCAGGCCTCTCCCCGCCCTCGCTCGGCCCCTGCCCTGGCCTCGCCCACTCCGGAAACCGGGAGCACGGCTTTCTGTGCCAGTCCCGCTGCGCCCCGGGCACTGGGGGCTGGCCTTTCCCCTCACCCCCATTCCAAACCGGTCTGTCCAGCCGTCCACCCCACAGAGGGACGCCTCCCGCGCCACCTCAGACACCCCGAGAAAGCCAGAGTCCAAACCAACCATGTGTAACTAGGGGGGCGGCTTTACTCGAAGCAGAGGGAAGGACAAGGTCAACCCAAGCGACAGGAACAGCGGCACCGGGGGCAGCAGAGGGCCCTCCCGCTGCTCAGGCCTCCCCGGCCACCTCGGCGTGCTTCTGCCGCAGGTGCTTGTCCAGGGTGGCGCGCAGGCCGAAGGGCACGCAGCAGTGGGGGCACTCGAAGCGGGGCCCGCCGGGGCCCAGGCCGTGCATGCGGCGGTGGCGGTTGAGCTTGCTGCTCTGCGCGCAGGCGTAGGAGCAGAGCTCGCAGGCGTAGGGCCGCTCGCCGGTGTGTGAGCGCCGGTGCACCGTCAGGTTGCTGCTGTTGGTGAAGTGCTTCCCGCAGAACTCGCAGCTGCCGCCCGGCCCGCGGCTCTTGCCCACGGGCTTGGGTGCCTTCTTGGGCGACGCCTTCTGGCTCTTGCTGGGGTCAGTTCTCCGCTCCTCGGTGCTGGCTCCCCAACCGTCGCCCCCAGGACCTGCCTGAGCCCCACCACCAGGCGCCCCCGGCTCCTGGACCCCCGCCGTCGCGGCGGCCCCAGCGCCCTCCCCGCCGCTGCACGGGAGGGTGCTGGCCGGGGCGGCGGCGTGGGCAGCGGGCTCTGGAGGGGCGGCAGGCTCCTGGCTGCCCTCGTCCGTGCAGGGGCTCTGGGGCTGCAGCTGCCGGTGGGTCTTCTTGTGGCGGTTGAGCTTGCTGCTCTGGGCACAGGCGTAAGGACACTGGTCGCAGGCATAGGGCCGCTCGCCCGTGTGAGAGCGCATGTGCACCTTGAGGTTGCTGAAGGAGCTGAGGGTCTTGGTGCACACGGGGCAGGTGGGGCTCCGCCGGCCGAGGCTGCTCACCCGTGGGCCCTTGGCCTCGGCTTCCGGCCCTGCCACTGCCGACACGGCCGCGGCCACCTCGGCCAGGCCCAGCAGCGGGGCCTCGGGGGACTCGGGTTCCGTCTGGTAGATGGACAGGCCGTGGTCCCACTGGGCGTGGTGCAGCAGTTTCCAGGCACCCGTGAACTGTCTGCCGCAGCGGAGGCAGTTCAGGGCCTCCAGGTCCTTGCCGTCTGCAGGGAAGAGAAAAAGCAGGTGTCAGCGGCACGGCCAACAGTCAGCCCTCGCAGTGCCCAGCTGCCAGCTGGCCGCCCCGTGGGAAAGGCTCCATTCCAGGGGCCGAGAGCACAGAGCGGGCACACAGGCGAAGCCCTCTAGTGTCAGAGAGGCGGGTGGGAGGACGAGAAGCAGGGAAGGTCTGTGGAGTGGGGGATGAGGCCACGAGGATTCTCTCTGTGTGCTTGCAGATCTTTAAGGAAAAGTTAAAGCCGAGTGAGGGACGGGGGAGCGCTGCTGTATGTCGGGGTGTCAGCAAGGCCTTGTGGAAGAAGGGACCAAATTCAGTGTGCCAGGCTGGGCCCCGCCTCAGCCCACTCACAGCTCTCCTCGGAGGCAGGAAAGAAGACCTCCATTTTCCAGATGGGAAAACTGAGCCAGGTGCACTTCCCCAAGGTCACACAGCTTGCAAGGGGTGAGGCCGGGGTTTCAATCCAGAAACCCAGGGAGTGGAAGACACAGGTTTTCACAAAAAGATTGTTGGTTTGATAATAAAAACAGCTCTTGATTACTGAGTGAGTTTCTGTGCCGGGGCCCCAAGCTCAGGGGTTCCACGCATGATCTTTTCCCTATCTTACAGAAGACAGGAGCAAGGTCTAGATGGGGGTAGTAAGCTAGGACCCCACCCTGAGAGCCCTCCAAACTGGAGGTTTTCTCTGGACCCTCTAGGTGCTGTCCGTAAGGGACTTCCTTGATCCACTTGCCTTTATTTCTCCAAGGCCAGACAGGATGGGGGTGGCTTTCCTGCTGCAAAGCCCAGGGTCAAGAGCACAGGTGGGAGGTGGAGAGGGTCAGCCCGGCCTGACTTAGAACTGGCCCTCCTGCTCCCTAGCTGTGTGACCTTGAGCAAGAAATAGCCCTCTCTGAGCCTCAGTTTCCTCATTTGCTAGGCTATGGGGATCCTAGGGGTCCTCTCTCTTTTAGGGTGGTTGTGACCTCGAATGCACAACAGCTGGGAGTTCGGGTCCACGTAAGCCCTCAGGAAACCTTAGCTGAGCCAAGGGGCTGAGCCACCCACAGTTCTCCAAGACTAAGCATCCCCATCTCCGAGTGTTGGGTTCCAGTAATTCCATCACAGCCCCTCCCTCATGGGACCGGCCACCCTCCCTGCTCCAACTCCACAGCTAATTCAATCACAGCTCCTCCTCCCTCCCCCCACGGGACCCTCCCCCAGGCCCAGCCCTCCACATAATTCCATTTCTCAAAAGTCCCAGGAGCACAGGGGCCAGGGGCTAGAAATTCGTCGGTTTGGATGAGCCACACAGCCAACACTAACCGAAAGCTGACCATGAGCCTAGCAGCATGCGAACGGTTTAATTCCCTCCCAAGAGAAACCCAGGTGTCCGGACACCCAGGACCTGCCTCACACCAGGGGCTTCCCGGCATGCAGGCCTGGGAGATTCCATCAGGGAGGGAGGCCCCCTTCCCTGGCTCTGAGCAAACGCACCAGCACCTCAACCAGAAGTGATCGAGAGGTGGGAGAGGGTCGCCAATGCCCCCTTCCAGCTGGCCTCCGCTCCCCCTCCCCCAGGCCGCTGCCCTCCTCCCTTGAGGTCCCCCCTACTACCACACTGGTCCAGCCACCTGGCCAGTTATTTCTGGCCAAGGGGAAGGAGAAGTGAAACCAGATTGGGGGGGTGTGTGTGTGGCAAATCCCCAGACCAGTCTTCTGGGGCTGGCCACACCCTATGGGCGGCCCTCCTTCCCTGCCCAGCCCCCGCTGCCCCCCCACCCTCGCCACTACTAGTCCCAGCCCTAGGACAGGGCAGGCCCTGGCCACGCCTAGGCTGCACCCGACGGGGAGCGAGAAAGGGGAAGTGGCTCTCACTGCCCCGCCTGTCCAGCTCAGCCCCTGTGCCCACAGGAAGCCGGGCCCTTTAACTCCAGAGGGGGACCGCATCCCGACCGGACTCACCTGAGCCCTGGCAGGGGCTAGGGTCTCTGAGGAGCTGACAGCCCAGCTTCTTGTGGTCCATGAAAGCGGTGATGGCCTCCAGCGGGAAGGTCTGCCGGCAGCGGCCGCAGGTCAACAGATCTGGGTGTTTGTCGGTCCAGGGCTGGCGGTCTGCAGGGAGGAAGCGGGTGGTGAGTGTGGGGTGGGGCCAGGATGGGGGCTGGGGGTTCCGAGGGAGAGGGGAAACCCGCAGGTCAGAAAAGGGGCTGAAGGCCAGGACCCGGCCTGGGAAATAAGGCAGGCCGGGGGTCGGTGCCCGGAGGAAGGGGTCCCACGCGAGAGGGAAGGGGGAGGTCGGAGGGGCCCGGGGCATGGGCAGGGGGCGCTCACCGGGAGAGTTCGGCATCAGCGGCGTCCACAGCGCCCACGGGTTCCGCGCGCCGAGGGCGTGGAGGGGGCCCCCGGCGGGCCCGGGGCCGGGGGAGTGGCGGGGCTCGCCCTCGAACCGCCCAGGCACGGGCACTTCCTTCGGGGAGAAGGGCCCCAGCCCCGGGGCCTGTAGGGGCCGCGCGTCTGGCTCGGGCTTCACTTCGATGACGAGGTCTGGCATCTCCATCTCGTCGCCGGGGGTGGCGGCGGGCGCGGGGTCCACTCGGCGGGGCGTGCAGCCGGCCTTGCGGCGGGACATGGGTCACGGGCCGGGCGGGCTGGCGGGCTGGCGGGCGGAGGACGCGCGGGCCGTGCGCGCTCAGACCCAGGCGCTCAGGTGAGTGACTGCGGCGACCCGCCGCGAACTCTTACACGTGCTGGGCCGGCCCGTGGCTCCGCCCACCGGGGGCGGGGCCTGACGGGAGAGGACGCGAGGCCCCGTAGGGGCCCCGCCGGCAGCCAAACTCAATCAAGGCTGTGCCCACTGCGTTTGGCTTAGTGACCAAACCTTAACGACGCCGCGTTTACACAAGCACGCGTTGAAGCAGCTGTTCCTGATCCTGCGTTCGGGCTGGTGGAACTGAGGCACAGGGTGCCCACACACACCCCCGAGCGAGAAAATGGTAGGGGCCACGTTTCTAACTGGGCGCCTAAGAGCAATCGGGACTATTCTCTTAAATGCATTCCAATACAAAGTCACTGAGCAAACATTTATTGAGCGCCTACTGTGTGCCGGGTTCTATTCAAACCACTGAGGATACCGCAGGGATGAAAACAGTAATCCCTGGCCTGAGGCAGTTTATTCTTTCAGGGAGACGGATGCTCCACGAGATAACTATGTAAATACAGACTGTCTTCCAGGATAAATGCCACGGAGCAAAATAAAGCTAAGCACGGTTCTAAAGGGACAGGGTTACTGGTGGGGGGGAGGGGGCTCAATTTTCTCCCCATGCCCGGGAAGGGCATGGTGGATTTGCCACCTGCAGGAGCTGAGGAGTCAGCCAGCCAGCGTGTGTATTCAAGAATAAAAAGGTGGGGGAGTACAGGGGTGGGTGACTGAGTTCTGCGAGAAAACGGGGTCAGATCCAAGAGGGTCTTTTGACCACTTTAAGGGGCGGGGAGTTTGCACGGAGGGTTGCCATCCCACACACTCCGCTCCTAGACCTGGAATCGCCCTTAAAACGGAATAGCCAGCTGTCTTAGCTCCCTCCGCTAGGGCCTCCTTGAACTTCCCTCCTCAAAGCATCTCTCGCTGGTCGCCGTTTGAAGTGGCATCGACACCCTGCCCCACCCTCCAACCCTTACAAGTTTTCTCTCTTCCTGGCACCGACCACATCGTGATAGAGAGCTGCTCGTTGACTGTCCTCTCCTTCCACCCCTCCTCCCCCCAACACACACACACACACCACAAGCCCCCTGAGGTCAGGGCCAGGGTCCGGCCTCCCCCACGTGTCCCCAGCGCAGCCCGGAGTCAGTTTCACATGCTAATCTCCTGCAGTGCTGCCCCAGGCCCCAGGGTCCTCATATTGTTATTCAAGGTCTCTGCCCAATTGTCCTCGTCAGAGCAGGGGACCTCCCTGACCACCGGATCTACAGTGCCCCACCCTGTGGACGGCCTTACAACTTACCCTCCACCACTTCCGTCTATCTCCAGCTCCCTCCAGAGCCTCCGTTTCCCCACCTGTTACATGAGGTGGCATCTTCTTCTCTGTCACCTCCTCTGAGCACCCACTTAAAAAAGCTCCCCCAACCCTGCCACCCGCCATCCCCTTGCCCGTATTTTATCCCTTTTAGATCCCTCATGGAGCCTTGAAGGATCCTGTTGATGTGCTCACTCATGGACACCCCATCCTGCCCCTTCAGCCCCCCTAGAGTGAAGATTCTGAGAGCACAGGAGCCCAGTCCATCTTGTTCCCAGGGAGCGCCCCTATTGGTTCATAGTCCAGTCAACAAATATGTAGGGCGCTCCTGTGATGCGCACTCTTTCCGTGGATATTTGCAGAGGGCCTGTGTGCCAGGCACGAGGCCTTGGGGATCTAGCCGGGAATCAGAGGCCCACAACGCCCCTCCCTTAGTGAAACTGTGCGGAAGAAGCGAATTCTGTCTGTGCCCAGAGCAGAGGTTCCACAGCATCTCAGGCCCACCGATCTGCCTTGCAGGGCCTCAGCTTCCTGCTTTGTAAAATGGGGCTGCAGGACCAACCCACCGCCTCTGGTCCATCCCGGCTGCTTCTCTCCAAGGCTTCGTCCTCGTGCGTGGCTGCTGAGAGCACGATCTCGGGGTTTCAGCCAGGGAACGTGGGGCTCGGGGTGGACGTGAGGGGTAGGCGTGTGCACGAGTAGGGGGATGGGGATGCTGAGACCGCGCTCTGCCCTTCTCTCAGCCGGGCGGAAGTCCTCCCCTCTCTGAGCCTCAATTTCTCCTTCCGTAAAATGGGCATCCCGGATGCCCCCCACCTCGCACACTGCTGGATCCCATCAAAGCGCCCGGCCCAGCCACCGGCGGGGTGGTGCCCGGGGCCGTGCGGGCTTCCGAGCCTGCGAGCCCGCCCGCGACCACGTGGGGCGGCGGCGGCGCGGGCGGAACCCAGGCTCGGCGGCTCGCGGCCCGGCCGGCCCTCTGCAGCGGCGGCACCGGCGGAAGTGGGGCGCCAGCCGCCGCGGAGCTCGGTGAGTGCGGGGTGGTGGCGGCGGGTGGCCGGCGCGTCCCTGCTCCCCGGCCCCGGCCCGGGACGCCCGCCCATCTGCAGGGCCGGGAGTGGCGGGAAGAGGCAGGTTCTGGTCCCCGAGCGGCCGCACCGGGGACATCCCGACGCCGCGGGTCGGGGGAAGGGGGGGCTGGTGATGGCGCGGAATCCTCCCCTTCGGGAAAATAATAGCGACGGCGGTAATAACAGTAATCAGGGCATCCATCCTCAGACTCCCGCCTTTCCTGGGGTGGAACCTAATCGGAGCCGGGAGTTGGGAAGAGGGTCCAGCCCTGGGCGGATCGGGGAGTGGACCCCTGGGGGCCGGGAGGACCTGCTTAGTATAAGAAAAGGAGAGTGATGGGCGGCCAGGGGGCATGGAGAGGAGACTGACCGGCCGACGGGGCGGAGGGGAGGGGAGGGGAGGGATCTGTGCTGGGGTCCTGACCCTCTCGGGAGGCCCCATTTAACTAATTTGCATCCAGATGGGATCCACCCTTAGGCGGGGTGTGGATGGGGTGTGGACGGGTCAGGACCTTGGTTAATTAGGTCTGGGGTCTTCCCCTTAACCTGGCCGCTCAGCTGGTTCCCTCCCCGGGTCACTGAAGGGTCAGCTAAATGTTGGCCCACTTTGCTGATCCCGCCCATTTTCTTGACAGTGAGCACTGAGGCCTCCAGCAGGGCGGTCCCTTCCGCTCCTGCCCCTACCATTGACCAAAGCGATGGGCTCTTGAGTTAATTAGTTTTTCAAGTAGTGGGGGATGGGTTTGGACGTTTCTCCTGACACCGGTGGGCAGGCAGGAAATCCTTGGCTCGGATTCTGAAAGGGATAAAGGGCTCTGGGGCCAGGTCACCAGGAAGAATGGATGGTGCCTGCCTTTCTTGGGCACACTCTCTGTGACTTTTCTCCAACCAGCTTCCCATCAGGTCGCACCTGGGCTCCCAGACCTGCCAGGGCTCCCCTCTGCTGGCTGGAATAAATCTGCCCTTCCACATAGGGCAGGAGGGATGGCCTTGGCTCTGCTGTCGGACTGCCCTGGGTTCGCTCCCTTTTCCTGCCACTTGTCGGCTTAAACCCGGTACATGATTTGGCATCTCCCCGCTCCAGCTTCCTCTTCTGGAAAATGGAGCTTGCACTGGGGCCACCAACTCCCTGTTTGTTTTTTTTCCCCTAATCAGGAAAACCAGGCCCTGCACTGACCCACCCTTAATTTTGTTTTATCCAGCGACTTAACTCTGTGGCCAGGGACTTAATTCTGTGGCCACTTGCTTAATTCCATCAGTCCTTAATTAAGTAATAACCCCAAAGACTAGGGTGTTTCTCTTAAAACACTTGAAGGTTAACCTATGTTGGGGGAAAGCCCTGGGGGCTGATGACTGATGGCTAAGCTTGGAGTGCAGTGGTCAGAGAAGTTAGAAAATGTGTATCCCTTAATCCTGGTCTCTGTGGTCTTCCCCGTCAGGCAAAACCCTGGGAGTCTTTCCTTGGCTCTGCTGTTTCCTTCAGTCCATCTGCAAACTGTGAGGGGTCTCACCCTCGAAACCCTTCAACCCTAGTCTCCCCACCCCTGCTGCCCCCACCCTGTCCCAGGCACCGCCATCTTCCACCGGGACCACCACGGTGGCTTCCTTGCTGGCTCCCTGCTTCTCTGTTTGTCCCCCACAATCCACTCTGTGCAGCAGGCAGAGCGATCCTGTGAAAACCGAAGTCGGGTCCTGTCCCTCCTCTGCTCAGAACCTCCCACGGCTCCCATCTGTCCCAGAGTAGAGGTCTAAATTCTCACCACGGCCCTCCAGGCCCTTCTCTCTTTGCCCCCGCCTCCACACTGGCCTCCTTGCTATGCCTCAGACTCACCCTTGCATGGGCTTTGCATCCGCTGTTCCCCCTCACTGGAATGCTCGTCCCCCAATTCGTCATTTCATTTAGGTCTGTGCTCAATGTCACTTATCAGAGAGATCTTCCCGAAGCGCCCTTCCTGGAAAAGACCCCTTGCCCCCTAGGCTGGGCCAGGCGTC